GAAAACCCATTTAAACCCGGGAACAACTTGCTTTTAGTTGCAGTGGGAACAGCTCACTGACGCATGTATACTAGGGTCAAATGACTAGCCAAGCAACCAGGGTTAAAATCGCCTCGGCTCTGATCAGCATGCTGTGGTCCACCTGAGCTGGGTGGACCCTCAAAATTACTTGATACGATTGAATGGATCTAACATCCAAGTTGAAGACTTAGATGAAGACAATCGTTTTGCTAATTCTGAAAGTTCAACTGGATCAAAGCATTCTAAACCCGGTTCAGATTCTATGGCTAAATTAAATAATTAGTTTATAGTAATCAAGAAATCCGCTTATATTGTTCATTTTTGGCCATTTAATGAATGTACATGTGTGCTAAAATAATAAGTAGATTAAAAGTGATGACAGTAATCCAGTGTCAGAGCCCTGGACATATGAGGACATCATCGCGGAGGTACAAGAGTGCTTTGGTGTGGGTAGCAGTGCTCTGTGCAGCAAGGAGGGGGAGGAGGATGAAGATATGGAGACTGTTGTCTCTTCCAGAGCTGAGATGAGGAATGCAGTTTCCATTTAAAGACTGGTCTCCTGCATGACAGTTTCAAAAACTTTGACCTTTTACATCGTTTTGAAAAAGAAGTGAACTCAGTGTTGGACAACCAGGAACCAGGGAACCATAGATAAATATATGAAGTGATTTCTTAATGCGGCGCAGCAGATCCGCAACACCAATAAGGCGTAGGCTAGCTTTAATTTTCAGCAGGATATGCAGTTATCTTCTATGCTGTTGTTCTATGAAACCGTTTGTTTCAAACTTCAGACTTGTTAAAAAAAAATGCACCGGCTGCACCAGGCTACCAGAGTTATGTCTGCGTATAGCGCAGTATACTGTAATTAAACTTGCATGGTACTGTAATAAAATTCAATAAATGCAGAAGCTATCCGTTTCATTTCATTTTTCTCATTGAAAAACCACACAAATGGCATTTAGATGATATTATGTATAAATAATAAGTGAAATAAGGGTAAATTTGGAGATAATAATCATACTCATGATAGTTTTCAAATTTGCTCTGGACCAACGTGATCACTATGAGCTGATTCCACTGTATTTTCATTCACTTCAAATGGAACTATTCAAAGACTTGTATTATATTAAACTGCACTTTCAATACTAACCACTTGTCAGTGCCATTTCACTTTTTCCTCTGAGCACGGAGCAGCCAGCTTGCTTGGACTGTCAATGAATCATGGGATACCCAAGGCTTTGAAGGACACACTGGACCAGTCCTTCGAAGCAGGGATGGAGTTTTCCAATCTGAACAGGCCTCTAAGCCTTGCTCTGATGTAATCAGCCAAAGGATCTGTCCTTCGGAGGACGCAGCCCCTGAATTTAAACTCAGCCAGTGTCTGTATGACACTCTGGTGCAACTCACCCCAGTCCTGACCCTAATGACATAGACAATACTGCAGTGGCAAACTAAAGGTAAACAGTGGTTTTATTAACAATACTGAACAATTCCAGATGCCTTTAATTGTATTTTTAAGACGTTTATACATTTACAAGCTGTGTTGATACTGTAAACATCTGTCAGTGTCATAGTAACTGTGATGGCAGATTGTTTGAAGGAATACTTGTGTGCCAGACAACAAGTATGAGACAAACACTTAAAATAACAGTGTATTTATATCAGGATAATGTAGAGCATTATTAGACTATCAGGTACAGCAATTTTAAAGTACAAAGATTATTTTTTTGAACTTTTAAAGTTGTGTTTAGCAAAATATTTATACCTCAATGTCTTTTACAGTATGCTTTTCTTTACTATGGTAAAACTGACAGTAATTATACAGTAAAATTGTGGAAACCATAGCTGCCAGTAAATCACTGTAAGTGATTATTTTGACAGTTTACACTTTGCGTCAATGCTGTTCCTGTTCCCAGCTTCTTGTCCAATTCGAATGCAACCATCGAATTACCGTGTTGGGGAGTTTCCTCTTTTACTTCATCAATTTTCAGCTTCTCCTCCTCAAGCACTTTACCCCTGAGTGGAAGGTTGATTTATTTAATCTGTTTCACAGAAAGCAGTTGACTTTTTTTCAAGCTTTTATTGTCATCACACTTTGTCACAAGTACAGAGCAATGAAATTAACTCTCTGCATTTAACCCATCCCCTTGGGGAGCAGTGGGCTGCCATTGTTGCGTGCCATGGAGCAGTATGGGGTTAAGGGTCTTGGCTCAGGGACCCAGAGTGGCAGTCTGTGGAAGTAGGTTTTGTACTCAGAACTTCTGGATTCCAAGTGCAACGCTCTTTATTTTTTTAGTTTTATTTTTTATTGAAAATCTACAGAAAATTAAACTCTGCTGTAAAAAAAGGGGAGAGGGGACTCTTGTGGTTTGAGGAGGAACTGCATCCTATAGAGAAGGTCTTAATCAAATCCTTTTGGATCTAAAATCCTCTGATGCTGATATTGCACAATATGATTCAAATCTGCTGCTAACAGTTTAACTCAGCAGAGAAAATCAGAGACTGACACCTACTGTTCAGAGAAGGAACTACATGCCTTAGGTCCAGGATTATCAAAGGAGGAAGGAAAGCTTAGAGTTAGAAACCATCAGCAGTTCAGGATGAAGGTTTGCTTTAATCTGCATTCTCTACCTCAGTGAGTATTATTATTTTATTTCTCTAATTTTCTCTATCCTAAATCCTTTATCATTTAAGTTCCTCAATTATTTCCTGAAACATACAGGAACATTTAACAAAATTTTAAGATTACAATTTTTGGATATTTTTCTCTTATTTAACAGTTTGAATCTCATAAATATAGATCATTGGGGTGGAGAAATATATTTGCAAAACTAATCCAGTCAGTTCCTCCAGAGTCCTCCAATTACTTGATTCAGGTGTGTTGAACCAAAGGCACATCTAAAAGTTTCAGGATACCGGGCCCAAACTGAAATTGCTTTGGGTCTCCCGGCGCTGGACTCAGTTCTCTGGGGGGCGCCTCTTCGGCTTTTCACAACCACTATTGAGCATTTTTACTTTGGATAAACTTTACATGCACAAGTGCACTTTCACAAACAACTACAGGTGCTTGGTTCCTGGTACTCAGAGATTCACTTCCACACAGAAAACCCATTTTCTAATCTTTATGTACCACAGTATACATGTCAGATTAAATAACACTACTTCAGCCATAGTATCTAGGTGTTACTTTATTGTATGTGTCGTACCATGTCCCTTGGTTGTGCTGTTCTTTTCACATCTCTTTGCAGGTGATGAAGCAGACTGAAGATGTTTTATCCTTATCTCCCTTTTATCTCTTCGTTCTTTAATCTTTTCTCCTTTTTTTGCTGCTTTTCCTTTCCTGTTCTACATACATTGCAGTGTCCATATAATCTGTAGAACTCCCTGCATAACTATAATTAAGCTATTTATATGCATAAAACAAGTGGAACACGATGGCGATAGCCGTACTGCTCCACTTCTGAAAGTAAAATCTGTTGGGCTCTTTTTGGCATCAAATCAATTATTCTTATTGCCACATCGCCAGACAGGACACTGTTTAAAAAAAAAAAAAAAGAAAATCCAGGGCCGCATAAGGATAATTTTTTATTATTGCCTGATTGACTAGATTAGAGCCTTTTTGAGAAATTTTATTTAAATATGAACTTTCTACTTTCTGAGTGACATGCAAAAGAAAATGAACAGGTTCCATTCCCTTTTAAAAAAATAAAAATAAAATAAATAATATCTTGTAACACAAGGAAACACAGACAGAAAGGTGTCTGAAGCCAAGAAGTAGTTCTTAAATTGACGTGTGGGAAGTTCAGCCTTTTGCTGTTAAATATTGAAGTAACCGCTTCCTGTGTGGTGAGAAAGACAACATAAAAAGTTAAAAAAGTTTTACTTAAATATCAGGTCAGTTCTATTGTGCAGTTTCTGTATTTCTACATTTCACTGCTGTTAAACAATCATGTGATAAATAATTATCAGTCCCTTCCCCAAAGATTTAATTGGATATTTAAAGCCAAGCTGCTGTTTGATTTATGATTCTGAAACATTTTCTGTTTCATGAATTTGGAAAAAGTATCTTGTTTAAAAAAAAAAAGAGAAATACTATAAACTGAAGAACAGAGGAATAAATCAGGTTACTGCTTAAACTGTGATGCTGACAAATCATCTGATGGAGACAAAGAACATTTTCAGTCCAAATGGAGCAGCAGACAGTTTAACTCAAAGGATAAAGTCAGATGCTGACCTCTAGGGGTCAGAGGAGGAACTCCATCCTTCAGAGAAGTTCCTGGTTTATCAGTGAAACAGGAAGAGAAGCAGAGTTAGAAACCATGAGCAGCTCAGGATGAAGGTCTGTTATACTTTGATCTGCATCCTTTTCCTCAGTGAGTACATTATTTTATTTCTATCTGTTTATTTCTATATCTGTTTTAAATCCTTAAAATTGTGGAAAAGTTCCAAACTGAATTCAATTATTCCCTCTTTTTTCTTTTGCATTTACTTTTTTAAATTCTGCAACAGAAAACAGCAACAGAAATCCAGAAAGTTAACGTTCAAATAGAAACTTAAGAACCATAAATTAGTTTTGGTTCATTTTTTTTAAAGAAATGTTGGGGTTTTTTAACCATTGAAAGTGACAAAGGAAACAGCTCTTTGTTTCATCATTTAAAAACACCTGAAGAGGAACATCAAAGCAGAAGTAACCCACCAATAAGTGCAACTGAAACCCTCCTTAAAGAAACAAATCAGAGAAAGATAGTTTATTTAACCAAGGATTTACTTTATAAACGTCCTCACAGAACATTTTATCAGCTGTCAAAGAAACCAGAAGGTTGTTGATCCAAACAGTTATCTAGAGAATTTAGCTGAACTGGTTTGAGACTCTGGGTTCAATGTGAATTTATTCTAATGCATCCAGGTTCATTTATAACTATATTTCAACTATATTATATTAAAGATTGACAGTAATTACTGACTGTTTATCTCCTCAGCAGCTCTGCAGGATGGAGAAACTGTGGAAACCTACAGAGGAAAGGAAGGAGGAAGCATCACAGTTAGATGTGAATTTAAGAACTCTGGAAGCAGGAGGTTCCTCTGTAAGGAAACCTGTGAAGGAGGAAATATTCTGATTAATACGACTGAGGACATGTTAAACAAAGACAGATACAGCATTAGATATGAAAGAAGGGATATCTTTTCAAATGATTATCTGCATGTGAGCATCACAAAGCTAAAAAAGTCAGATTCAGGACGGTACCGCTGTCGCTCTGATACATGGAGGGGAACTCAATATGAAGATTTTATTCTCTCTGTGACTGAAGGTGAGTTTTTCTGTTTTTAAACTTTTCACTCAGATTTTCAACAGATCTACTTTAAAGACCAGCATGTTCAAACTGTGACTCATGAAGACAAACATGGATCATAAAATCAAGAAGAATGTAAATTTTGACCTCAGTTGTTCTTATTCTGTTTAATCTCCACGTCCTCAGATTCTTCAGAACCAAAATGGACTCTGGGACCTTTTATTAGATCAACTTTTCTCCCAGCAGCCTCCACAACAACAACAACAACACAGAGTCTGAGTTCCTCACCTTCTCCATCCTCCTCTGCAACCAGCAGAGTCTCTGAGAAACCAGCTGCAGCTTCAGGTACATTATCTGTTCATGTTTAGATGTTCAGGAGATGATTTGGGTCTGTTAAAGTCCAGCTTTGTTCATCAGTGAGGCTCAGAACTGTTCAAGTTAACAGGGTCAGAGAATTAAATGTTAAATTAATTTGTATCAGAGCAAATAAAAGCCAATAAAGCATGGAGCATCTGATCAGAGCAGAATGTTCTGAAGGTCTTTGACAGCAGAAGCTGTGTCCTCTGAGTTCAATAGGAGAGAAACCTTCTGTTTTTATCAGCAGCTGATGAAGGAGGAACATTAATGCACATGGCCTGTTTATGAGGAACAGAGCAGCTGATGGGATAAACTAAATCAACTCTTCTATAAACATCCCTGCAGATCTGTGGCTCTATGTGGGTCTGATTCTTTCCATCCTGATCATCATGTTAGCAGCAGCTCTGCTCATCTTCTTCAAGAGGAAGAGCTTCAGTCAACAGAAAGGTGAGTTATATCATAATTAAGAAATTTTACCTTCAACTGACCTATAAAAACACATGATGGGTTTAAAGATGAAACTTTTAAATTCTTACAATTATAATTAGTTGTTCAAAACATTGAGCAGATTAGTAGCATTGATAATCTTTATAGCATTGAAAAAACACTGGTGGTGAAAAACCACAGAGGATGTGGGACTAAGAATAGACTCAGATTGAAGGAGGAAGTGGGGCGGTGTTGGGTGAAAGATCAGCTGACCTGCAGGAGGGAAGCTGGGCCAGAAGCTAAATGAAGGGGATGATGATTGGCTATGGAGGAGGTGCCGTCCTGACATTGATTGGATGGAGCTTGGAGCCAGGGGTATGAATTATTCTGGACTTAACTGAATAGAAAGAATCTATTTTTATTCAATCATAGTAATTTAAATGGGGACAACTAAACAAATAAATAACTTTCATAAATAAATCTAATTCCCATTTTAAAGCCAACAAATATAAACAAGCGTATCCTGAGGAGGATTAAGAGTTGCTGTGAGGGATGATGGAGAAAAACTTTCTTTTATTTTTATAGATAATTCAACTATAGATTGGAGCTACATCTCCTGTGATGCTGATTGTGCCAGATTTCGTTCACCTGCTGAGAAGTGCTGCAGAGTGGCACACTAATATGTGTGTGTGTATGTGCACACACAAATGTCCGTTCATGCACCCACATCTGAACTAATGAGCAGATCTTCACAGCACTTATTTTACTGTTATGTTTGTAGATTTTATAATCCAGGTGCAGTGTTTAGTATAAACAAAGGAAGCCTGTCATACCCTGATAAACTGAGGATCCTCAGTTCTTCCTCATCAGGCTGTAGCTGATCAGGTTCCTCCAAACTGAAAGATCCTCTAGAGAGCTGGGGTAGCCAATTAAAAACCAGCAGGGTCCGAATAAAGAAAATCAACAACCAGTAAAGGTCTGGAAACATTTTTAATTATAATATGTTACTTTAAACAGTTCACCTAAAAAAAAAAAAAAATCATATATTGACTTTTAAGATAAAAAATTATCTAAAAAAGAAAAATCTAAAAAATTTTTAATATAACGTTTTTTGAAGTAGATAACAACAATTGTTTAGTTTGGTACATAGTTGTTTTTCTTTCTTTCTTTTTTTCTGTCTTAATAAGAGCAGTGGGAGTTAGGCTGCCCTGCAAGGCTTGAGCGGTTGATGACCAGTGGATCGTGGTTAGGCCAGTTCTTCCTGAAGTCCAAGATGATCTCCTTCGTCTTCTCCACATTCAGGATCAGGCTGTTATCTTTGCACCAGTCCACCAGCTGCTCCACCTTCTCTCTGTAGTCCGGGTTCTTGTATTGAATCCCAGCTGTTCCAGTTTGCCCATCAGATGCTGTGGGATGATGGTGCTGAAAGCTGAACTAAAGTTCAGGAACAGCATCCGCACGTGGGTGTTCTTCTCCTCCAGGTGTGCCAGGCTCAGGTGGAGAGCAGCAGAGATGGCGTCCTCAGTGGAGCGGTTCCGTCGGTAGGCGAACTGGAACGGGTCGAATGTGGGTGGCAGACTGGACATGATATGTTCTTTAACCAGCCTTTGGAAGCACTTCATCATGATGGGAGTGTGACAGCCCGCTAGTCATTTAGTGAAGGGAGCTGAGGCTTTATTGGGACTGGAGTAATGGGGGCAGACTTAAAGCATGCTGGCACTATGGATTGGTCCAGCGAGGTGTTAAAATGTCTGTGAGGACACCAGCCAGCTGATCTGCACACTCCTTATACACCCGCCCAGGTATGTTATCAGGCCCTGGGGCCTTCCTTGGATTGACTCTCCTCAGAGTTTTCCTCACTTCAGCTACGTCCAGGTTTAGTGCCTCCTCCCCCTGGTAAGGAACAGTTTTAGTGCTGTTTAGTGCCTCAAACCTTCCAAAGAAGTTGTTCAGTTCATTTAGGAAGTCAGTGTTTGCTGCATCTACCGGGGGGGAGGGTGTGTTGTAGTCTGTGATCATCCGAATGCCTTTCCATATCCTCCTGGTGTTTCTGTTGTCATGGAAAAGAACCTGGATCTTCTGGCTGTGGTTCTGCTGCGCTGATCTGATGGCATGATTTAAGTTGGCACGCGCTGTTCTTAGTGTCTCTTTATCACTAGACTAGAAAGCTGAGTTCCGTTTCTGAACCTCTCCATTTATCCAGGGTGGTTGGTTGGCCCGGGTGGTGATGTTCTTTTTGATGCTGACGTCTTCAATGCATTTGTTGATGTAGGCTGACACAGTCATGGCATACTCATCAATATTTAATAAGTTGTCATATGTTGCTGCAGCCTTGAAAATGTTCCAATCAGAGCAACAGTCTTGGAGTGTCTCCATGGCGCCCTCAGACCACACTCTGATCTCTTTAACTGTCGGTTTAGCCCTGATCAGGTGGGGCTTATATGCAGGGATAAGCACAACAGATAGGTGATCTGATGAACCGAGGTGGGGGCGGGGGGCTGCTCTGAATGTGTCTTTGATGTTAGAGTATACCAGGTTTAAATGTTTTCACCCCAAGTTGCTAAGTCCACATGTTGGTAGAAATGAGTTAGCCTGGTTAAAATCCCCAGCAATGATGAAAACACCCTCTGTGTGCAGATTGGAGCTTTAGAGATAGCCTGGTATAGAGTCTTCATGGCTTCTTTTGTATTAGCGCTGGGAGGCACATAAACAGCAGTGATGCTAACCACACTAAACTCTCTGTGGCAAAGAAGAAAAGAAAGAAGAAGAAATATCTCGGACAAAGCTGCTGCTGCTGATCTCCCATCAGATAGATTTAAAGCCAGCCCCCAAATATTAATTCAACTTTTTGTAAATTCATAAACTTCTTTAGTTTATCTATAAAAGGTCATGTGAGGATTTTTGCAGCAAAATCAACTCCAGAAGGAATGAAAATGTTTCATGATTTGTTGGGTTCAAAAATGTAGGTTTGTAAAAGAAGAACTGAAATACACAGTAAGGGATTTTCATATAGCTTCTGCAGAAGGAGACACAGTTGAACCCCAGACTCAAACACACTGTCTCACACCGGACCTCCTCGGCAGAGCGTTTTATTAAAAGAACATGACACATGGTTACAAACAGAGTATTGTTCTGACAGAACAGTTGATCAGTTCATAAAGACAGGATGCTCCCACAGAACAATTGATCAGTTCATAAAGACAGGATGCTTCCCTCTTGACTGAATCACAAGGCAGTGTGGTCTCCTGACTGAATCATGAGACAGGAGTGGAGCGTATCATTTCTACAATGTTTCATATGAACACACATTACTTTAATAATCATCATTAAATAAACCTAACATTTCCCTCCTGTTGTGCATATAAACATTAGCATGTAGCACTTCTAAAAAGATTTTTACTACACACATCATAAATGCATTGCGGATAGGGAATTCCGTAATCAAAGATCAATATGCAAGAAACAAAAATATGAAAAGGATTAAAGTGTCAAACTTATGCAAAAATGTAAGATTTATCAAAAATGTAAAAAGCTTCAAAAATCTGTCCCTTGAGTAGGCAAAACCTCTCCAATAGAGGAAAAATTCCTACCCAATCCTTGCCGAGGAAGCGATCATTATCCCTGGAACATATTACACAGTTGCAAATCAACAGTATCTTTATCAGCATCTAGGCGGAGTTGAACATAAGTTACAGCTGAATACTGGATTGGAGTGGATCCTATCATTCTCTGAATCATTGACTGGAGACACGGTATTAAGCAACAAATAAAAAGGAAAAATATGAAAAACAAACCTGCAAATGGTAAAGCTATCTTCATCAGCACCTGCCACCATGATCCCATGGTGAACCAACTTGTCCCTGGTGCTGGACTTGCACCAGAGGTGTGATGGTCAACATACCTCTTTAAATCTTCAACCCCTACAGAGCATTCTGTATGAGTACAAACATTACAGTCCGTTTTATTCAAACCTTCAGCAGTGCGGTTGGAATGCTGCCACCACATATTGGCACCGTAGGGATGACTTGCTGTGGATCCATCAAAAACCATTCTGGTTTTTCCTTTGTTTCTGGCGGTCAGTTTGAGTCCCTAAGAGCACCAGTCCAATGGTTACCATCAGGCAGCAGAGCCACTTTAGTTTTCCCATCTTCACCAGTCCCTCCAAGGAAGCACCCACTAACCAGGATGCTAAGGGATTGGGTTAGGTTGGTTTCTTCACTAGCGTTGAGACGAAAAGCTCTAAATTGCTTTACCCCTTTGTAGGGGCTTCACCACAGATCCCTACCTTAGTCGTGGGGTCCCTGTGAAGGTAACTGGGCTTCTTGCTGAGGAAAATCTTTAATCAGCTTACAACGACTCTGGTGGATCCAAGTGTCTCCCTCCTGGATCTTCACAGCGGTTGGAGTTGCTAGTTGCACAATGTAAGGTCCTTCACACCTTTTAGCTGCCCAATTTTCCCCTTGATGATTTTAATCAGCACTCTATCTCCAGGCTTCAGGCCTTCCTGATGGGAAACAAAAGGCGCTTTGGGCAGATTACATGTTCTTCGCAACATGTGAGACATGCTCTGCAAAAATTTTTTAAAGTAGTTATTTAATCCTGCAGTTGGATTAAATACTTGTTGTACTATACTCAATATCCCTTCTGTGAGACTTGGTAAACTCATGGCTCAAAATAGCTGCTGCTTTCAATCAGAATCAGAATCAGAAATACTTTCATAATCCCAGAGGGAATTTTTTTTGTTACACGCTCGAGTTACAGTTTTATATATATATATATATATATATATATATATATATATATATATATATATATATATATATATATATATATATATATATATATATATATATATATATATATATATATATATATATATATATACACATCCAACTACACAATATAATAAAGATAAAAAAATAAGAATATGGGGAGCTACTGTTTCCACAGGTCCCCTTTAACCCTTAAGAGTAGGACACTACAGGTTTGAGCCTATCACCATGAGACTGTAACAACACAGAGGTCATATAACTTGCTTAACCATCAACTATTTGCATGCACAGTTTTTGATACTTTTTCAGAGCTAAGCCAGTTGCTGAGAAAAGTTCTACTTTTAGCTTTGTGAATTGCTGTTCTGCTTCTCTGACATAGCTACTAGTGTGTCATAACAAAAGCTTAAGAAAAGCTGAGTTTTTTTCATAATGTGGAATCTAAACCCTGCAGAATTAATTGCACAATTCTAAAAATACATTGTTGTAGCTTTTTACCTTCTTCTGAAATAACATGGCCCATACAACAAACTTATTTCTGCACCCGCTAAAATTTTTATAACTAGTTTTATACTGTCCTTTGCTTCACATTTTAGCAGATATTGTTTTATCCTTGGCCTGTATTGTGATTTAGGAACTATTTTAACTGAATCTACAGTTGTCAACAGTCCTACATCAATTCTTGAACCTGGAGTTTTACATTGAACAGAATTTTAGTTGGAAAAAATAGACATGGAGCAGAAATAAGCATGTTGCATAAAACACAGAAGGATTTAATTGCAATGCCATTACATGTATTATTCATACAGCCTACACCCCCCCCCCCCCCCCGTTGAGAAAATTGCAATGCCTAATTTTCCATCAAGTCTCACTTAAACAGATTAATGGGGTGAGTTGGTTATATTACTATAAAAACATGCAACCTTGCAACCTTTTTCCTGTTTGAAGGTCTTCTATTTCTATTGCCCTTGACATCCATTCCTAGGATGTTTGATTATTTGCTGATTTTACAAAAATTTGCCTTTTAGATGGTTTTAGCATTCACATTATCTTTAACACAAGTAGTACAGGCTCCTGAATTGCATATAGGTCTAACTGCCTGTCCATTAATTGCTAGAACTATTCATGGTTTTTCTTTTAATGCATTTAATATCCCCCATGCTCCATACTCCTCTACAATTGCAAAACCAACTAATTTCTTTCTGGAAGCCGACCCATCCACATACAAATTTATATAAACCCTCCTGTGGTTCATCTTTTCCCCTGGGTGGTTAGATGCAGGGAGTAAAATGTTTTTTGGGAATGAGCCTGAATATATCACGTGTGTCAGCTGCTTTCAGCTCGGCTGTAACTTCCCCTCGTAACATAAAATTTGTAAATCTTCTCACTGCCACGCCTTTGTCTGTAGGCACTAACACTATTTGCAATTTCCTTAACAAATCTCTGCCTAATAAATTAACTGGACAGTCTGGGCTTAACACAAAATCAGCTTCCACCGTGAATCCCTTTTCATCAGTGACCAATTGTTTTCCCCCTGTGACCACCAGCCCCTCACTTGAGCCCAATCATGGTCCAAAATACACTTCATAGCTTTTCCTATGTTTTAGCTTGCACAATCCACTTATTTAACCCCTTTAATTTTTTTTTCCCTGTATGTAGCTTGCATGACTAAAATAATTTTCTGGCGGGTTATTTATTTTAAATCTTTTGGTTTCAAACCTAATATTTTTGGAGACCATGCAGTCGCATTAGGAAGGCTGTCAGTTGGATCAATGGTGCAGTCATCGTTCCACTGACCTCGCTCCCGCTGCTACAGATTCAAGCTGTCTCCCTCTAAACAGTGTTTCATTATCTTTTGGATGCACAAACAACTTAAAAGACCCACAAACATAACTTTAAAGACAGAAACACTTAACATTAAAAGACGGACAAACACAACATTAGATCTATTTATTAAATTTTTAATAATAACATATCTACTTTGCGCATGTATTATACCAACACCTCGCCATTTGGAGCTCATTTATTTATATATATATATATATATATATATATATATATATATATATATATATATATATATATATATATATATATATATATATATATATATATATATATATATATATATATATATATATATATGTATATGTATTTATCTATGTATTTATTTATTTTTTTATTTATTTTTTTTTTTTGCACTAGTGCTTGTTTTTAGCCTGCACATAACATTTCTCCATTGATCTACTTCCACACACCATCTATTTCATCCTTTTACTTCCACTTCTACAAGTATTTTAAATTACTTGGATCAATCTGACACAAACATTCCATACCCCTTATAATCCTCTCTATACTCTTTCCTGAACCCATCCTTTTTTATTCTTTTACCTCCCTGGCTCACTTGAGTTATTTTATCATTTAGTTCTTATTATTTTTGGAATAGAGGTGTCCCTCAAACCCCTATTTTTTTTACAACCATATATTCAAGTGTTTATTTTTTGTTGGATCCTGTGCTTCTACAAACTTCTAATCGTAGATTTTAAATTATCTCTAAATTTTTTTTACCTTTACCCATTTTAAAGAATTTAGTCCAGTACAAACACCTAGGGTATTCTACGCACTGGATGTTTATTCAGCAGGACAGTACCCAAAAACTGTTGTGGTGATTCCTTCTTCCACCTTTTCAGGTCAGAAATTATTGCCTCTGCCTCCACAAGAGCTGTACTGTATTAACCCCTGCTCACACAGTCACACCTATTTTAAGGCCTATTATATATTTATTTATTATAACCAAAATAGACTCAAAACACCGATCGTTACGTGTACACTTTGGAGTCTCAAACTTCAGGCCCTCGCATACACCGGATCCCCAGATGCCACATCTGTCAACAAAACTTGGTTTCGTCAAATATCCCTGCTGCGGCAGCTGCAAACCTTACTATCTCGAGAACAACAGAGTCCCAGACTCAAACGCACATAATACTCAGATGCCACATCCGTCAACAAGACTTGGTCTCGTCAAATATTCTTGCGATTACAGCTGTAACTTCAATGGTCCCAGACCAACTTTTGATCAAAACCTTTAGGCCTACCCTTTGTTGTTTAGATCAGTTCCTCTAGAGTTGTCACCAAGATGCCCAGGGCAGGGCTGGACCAAACTGGTCCCGTTCTGCAAAGGGAGGACGGCTGTCGACAGATTCTTGGCCTTGGTCCAAGACCTAATTAATAATCTGCTGTGTTATTATTTTACCTCCCAGCCATGTGGTCAAGATTTTAACCTAGTCTTCTCTCTGATGATCATTTCATAAATATTTTAGTGACAGTGGCATTGGATGTAGGAGTTTGCCCTGATATCGAAGGATTGATGGGTCAAGCCCTGGCTCCGACTTTCATTGTTGTTGTGTCCTTGGGCAAGACATTTCACCTGCATTGTCTACTAAAGTGGTCAGATGGCCCAGTTGCGGCAGTGTACGGCAGCCGCTTCTGTCAGTGAGCCCCAGGGCAGCTGTGCCTACAATGTAGCTTGCCACCATCAGCGTGTGAGTGTGTGCGTGAATGGGTGAATGGCTGTGTGTTTCCTGGACGGGGCCGCCTTTTACAGCTGCTTTTTGTATCTCTGCTTCTGTCTCCTTGAACCCCAGTCGGCCTCGGCAGATGGCCGCTCACACTGAGCCTGGTTCTGCTGGAGGTTTCTTCCTGTTAAAAGGGAGTTTTTCCTCTCCACTGTCGCTACAAGCATGCTTAGTGTGGGGGATTGTATTTGAGTCAATGAGTCAATGCAATCAACTGGTTTTCCTTAGATAGAAAACTTTGTATCAATTTGACTGTATGATCTGGTTGAACTGTAAAGTGCCTTGAGATGACATGTGTTGTGAATTTGGCGCTATATAAATAAACTGAATTGAATTGAATTGAATTGAATGTAGTGTAAAGCGCTTTTGTCAAATCTTCTGACTTGAATAAAGGCGCTATATAAGTACATGCCATTTACCATAATAACTTTTTTCAATGACCAGAAAATTGTATGGATTAACAGCAAAACACAATTTGCTTCAGTTTTTCTGCATAACTTTCAGTCACATAGTTCCTTTTTTATGACCTCATCTTTTTAGAGAATTAATCTTCTTTCTCCTTTCTTCTCCCTGTGTAAAAATAAACAGGAAATCCTAGAAATATAACCAAATAAAACTTGATGCAATTATATTTAATAGATCTGTTTATAAATGCGGCTTTCTATCAGATAATGTCTTCTGATATTTAATGAACTGCATGTTTTCAGGTTCAGGAGAAACAGAGTACTGCAACTTCTCTGAGGTGAGTGAGTGAGTGAGTGAGTGAGGTTAAGTAATTAACTTAAAGTAGATGATAAACTTCTATGCTTACAATTTCTTTTTTTTTTTTTTTTTTTTTTTTTTTTTTTATACAGTGTCCTGTCTGGCAAGGTGGCAATAAGAATAATTGTCTTGATGCCAAAAGGAGCCCAACAGATTTTACTTTCACAAGTGTAGCGGTATCGCAATTGCCATACCGCTCCACTTGTTTCATGTATATAAATTGCTTTATTATAATTATGCAGGGAGTTTTACAGTTCATATGGACACTGCAATGTAAGTAGAGCAGAAAAACAGAAGAAGAAGAAGGAAAAAGAAAAAGAAAAAAACAGGACAAAAGATGAAAGAAAGAGGAGATAGGAAGGAGACAATGACAAAACATTTTCAGTCTGCTTCAACACCTGTAATGAGATGGAGAAAAAAAAAAAAAAAAAAAAAAAAAAAAAGAACAGCACAACCAAAAAACATGGTACGAGATATACAATAAAGCAAACACCTTGAAACTATCACTAAAGTAATATTATTAAGTCTGACATGTACTCTGTGTTACCTGAAGATATGAATGTGGGGTTTCTGTTTGGAAGTGAATCTCTAAGTACCTGAAGCCTAGCACCTGTAGTTGTTTGTGAGGGTGAACTTGTGCATGTAAAGTTTTAACCATAGAAAAAAATGCTCAATAGTGGTTGTGGAGAGCCGGAGAGGCACACCCCCCAGAGCACTGAGTCCAGCGCCGGGAGACCCAAAGCCCCAGGCGCCCAAGGGGACCCCAGAAGCGAAGGCACCAAGGCGGGGCCAGCCCCGGAAATCAGACCCTACCAAGGCAGGAGGAGAGACAGCCACGAGGAAGCCCCCCAGCCACCGCCATGCCGGCGCCCCGGGGAGCCGCGGGGACGAGTCCGCGGGCCCCGCCGGCAGCCGGCCACCCCGAAGTAGGGCCGGGCGCCGAACACCAGCCCCCCCACGGCGCCGACCGAAACGCCCCAGCCCCACAGAGCACCGAAACACGCCCCGCCCCCCCGCACCAAGCCCCGGCGACCGGCCGCAACACCCACCGCGACCGCACCACCCAGGAAAACACTAAGACGGCCCCGCCCCCGGCCGGGGCCCATGCGCATCCGCCGCGAACCGGCCACGAGCGCCGCGGGACCCCCCCCAAAACGCCCCCCCCGGCCAAAAGCGCAGCCCCACCCCACCAAGACCGATGCCAACAGCGCGCAACGAAACACACCGCGCACAGAATCAGCCCGAGAGCAGAAAAGCCGCCCGGCGCAAAACCGCAAGAGGAGCAGACCGCAGCCGGCGCAACCACCCCCCCCAGCAGCCCGAGGGGCAGCACAAAGCCAGAGCGGAGCGAACCGCGCCGCCCCCCCACCGGACGATGCCAAAGCAGCCCAGCCACGTCCGCCACCCCCCCCCGCAGCCCGCACCAGGCCCCGACACGCGGCCAGAGCAGCTCCGCCGCCCCGGCCCCCCACCACGCGCCGGTCATAGCCACCCCAGGCCCACACCCGCCCCGCAGCCCCACCCGCCGCGATCAGTGGGAACAGAGCAGCCCCGCCATGCCTCCAGGAGGGAAAACCCACCCGAATACCCAGCCAGCGCAGCCAGCCCGCCCAGACCGGCCCCCCAACACTACCCCCGCCGGAGCCGCCCGGACCCCCACACACCAGCGGCGCGCCGCCAGCAGGACCCCCACCCAGCAGGCCCGCCTGCCCCCCGAGAAAACAGACATGCCAAACCCCCCAAAGAAAAAAAGAGAAAAAAAAAAAATAAAAAAGGGGCCCCCACAATGCGACAGCGGACACCAGACACCGACCCGCCCGCAACCGCTCCCCCCCACCGAGGAAGAGAAAAAAAAAAAAAAAAAAAAAAAAAAAAAAAAATGCTTACAATTTCTAACACAAATACAAATTTCTGTTATGCTGTGCGGTTAAAAATTAATATCCTATTATATCCCTTTTCCTGTTAACATTGAGTGCTGATTTTATTTATTTACTTTTAAAATTATTCTTTCTAGCAGACCACAGTATCTGCTCTCCCTTTCAAGGTAAAATATCAAATAAATGCTGGTTTGAATGAAAAACACCAAATCTTAATTTCTTGTTAAATAAGACTTATGCTGTGTCTGAACGTCTAATAGATGAACACTAGATAAACAGATATATCCTAGAATGCTTTGTGAGAGCTGTCCTCACTTAACTTACTTACGTAACAGATGTTCATTTAAATCTATAACAGATTTATGTTTCTAATAGTTAATCTAATCACTATTTCCCTCTTTGTCATATAAACATGCCATCTGAAAGGTTTCTCCTTGTTTCCTTGCAGGCTAAAGATGGTGCAGTAGAGTACTCTGAGCTGAAACTGAAGAATGATGCCACTAGTTCACCCAGCAGCGCCCCCTGTGGTCAGGCAGATAATGTGACCTACTCTGAGCTTAAGGTAGCAGTGAGCTCTGCAAACCACAGCCATAATGATTCTCCTCTCTATTCCATCATTACCTCAGAAGTAGTAGCTTTAGAGGCGTCAGCGGTGCTCACATTATTTACTGAAGTTAAAGTCCAGACACATTTGTAAGCAAAAGACTGAAAAACAAAGTAAAAGTATTGAACTCCTTTACTTAAGTAAAGGTAAAAAAGTACCGATCCTGCAGTGTACTTGTGTGCAAAACAAAAATTGAAATAGTTTGCCTTAAATCATATAAAATAACTTTTTAACAAATAAAAAAAAAGATGTGTAAAATGTTTTTCTTTTCTTTTTTGTTCTCTGTGTTGGTAGAGAGAACATGAAAAATACCAACTTGGTCCAGTTTCGTTCTAAATAAAAATTTCAGACAGGATGTGGTAAATTGAAGTGAACAGCAGTGCTGAATATGCACCTGAATACTTTGAATGCTCTGGATCCACAGCATTAAAGGGGCAAATAACAATAGATTCAAATAAAGTTTGGAACAGACTAAATGTGTAAATTTAAAATCTAATTAAGGAGGAATAGATGAGGAATGTCTGCATCTCAGAATCAGATGCTTCATCTGCAGCGTCTCCCAGCTTCCTTATTTTCATCTTTTCTGACTGACTGGGGTCCAAATGGACACATTCTCTTCACACTCTGGATTTTCCCTCTTTTGTTGCAGCTGTTCTTCATCTTATCAATGTGTATAGAAGTAATGAACCAGGAGTGGAAAATACTGATATTTATAATCCTATGTTGTTAGAAAAATGAAAATGAAATAAATAATCAGGTTAAGAAGAGATACCAAGGAAAAGGTATTTAAGGCAATAATGTGTTATTTTAATCAAAATCCAATGGTCAGATTGCAGAAACATGAATCGACCCCCCAAACTGTCTCTCCCCTCCAACAATATGGAAGCCGCCATCTTTCAAAATGGCTTCCTCAACATTAGTTTACTGTCTTGTCAAGCGATGATGAGATTCATTTACATTAGATCGCAGCATCAAGCTGTTTTAATTTAGCCCTGGAAAGAAAGTTTCTTATCCTACCTCCAGCACAGACACGGACCAGCTGCTGCTTCTCTTATCCCACTCCACCGCTCACTCCGGCCGCACGCTCCTCTGATCCTCAGTGAACCATTCATACATTCTGTCCCCTGTATTCTCTGCGTATTGCTAAGTATGTATAGGGAACATATCTGCCTCCACAAATGCAAACGGAGTAATTATAAATAGCAATTTCTAAGGAAAGGCAAACAGAAAGACTAAAACTTTCAATTCATAGTTGATAATAAATAACATGTAGTTTATATATACCTATTTATGCCAGTAAATCTCTGTAAATATTACACACCATATTGTTAAGTACAGTAAAGCAATAGAGTAACTATTGGTAAGCACAGACTGCAGTTGCTTAGGGGCCCCGTCACTGACACCTGGTGGGCTCCTTACGCAATTGTAGACTAGGACGTCTCATTGCAGATGTAATGGTGCTAAAAATTCCTCTTAAGCCCACCTGATACTATATTAAAAGACCGGACCGTATTTATACCACAAGACATGGCAGATTTCAACATGATGGTGTGCCGTTTAAACATGACACCAATAGCAAAGCAGACAGTGGTGCTTTTAACTACTATGTTAATAACTGTGTAGAGTTCATTAGATGGTTGGAAAAAAATACACTCATATAGTATATTACAAACCACTATAAAGATCTTAAAATGGGGTGTTGTACTTCATATTGGGCCGACCCAGATAATGTTGCATAGGGCCTATTGTTGTGTTGTTACTCCATTGCAATAAAGTATTTACATTTGGTTATTTGACACCTCATGTAGCTTTATTTTTGTTTCTGTTGTATGTCGTCTTCAATGAGAGGTATTTAATAATATGGTCTGATCAACAGAAATAAATCTAGTTTTACTACTCTTTTATAACTCTAAAATCATTGTGATTACGATATGAGTCAAACTAATTAATATATGTGAGTAAAAACTCCTTTCTATGATGAAGCGGGCCACCAGGATCCAATCAACGGATCTATTTTTTCAGCCCTGTTCCTCAGGATCCACTGTCTGTCCAAAGACAGAAAATTAAAAAAAGTTTAAAAACAAAGTAGCTTCTGTCTCCTTGAAGCCCAGTCGGCCTCAGCAGATGGCTGCTCACACTGAGCCTGGTTCTGCTTGAGGTTTCTTCCTGTTAAAATTGAGTTTTTCCTCTCCACTGTCGCTACAAGCCTGCTTAGTGTGAAGGATTGTATTTGAGTCAATGAGTCGATGCAATCAGCTGGTTTTCCTTAGATAGAAAACTTTGTATCAATTTGACTGTATGATCTGGTGAACTGGAAAGTTCACATGTGTTGTGAATTTGGCGCTATATAAATAAACTGAATTGAAATGAATTGAATTAAAAAGGTTTCTAAAGAAATTAGACAATGGCTGATTAGAAGATTTGATTTGAATTCTGACAAAACAAAAAGATGAAATAAAATTGAAATATTGGAATTCTTTTCCAATTCTGGAATATTAAAGATTAAAATAAAAAAGAATTAAACATCACTTCATTTACAAAATATATTGAGGTAACACATATTTCAATTTCTGATCTTTTATTGACATAAATAATTTTCAAATATCGCCTCCATTAGGAAATGATGTAATGAAACTAAACAGCAATCTTTGATACAATAAATACCCTTTACTGTACTTTCATTTTTAAATTATGCAGCCGGCTCATCAGAGGGAAAATAAAATAAGGCTTTTGTTAAAACAGGAGGTCTGATTTTAACATGAACTGTTTCTGCATTTGGTTTATCTCAGGTTAAAATATATTTTGTTCTACATTCAGTGTTAGAGCAGCAAGGGATATTATCTAAGTAAAAGAAGCAATTCATTTAAAACATCAGTCCAGTAAAAATATAAGGAAAGGATAATAAAACTATTCACTTAAATATTTTTTAGAACTTATTTAAGTAATTATTTCCAGCCCACCTCTGGTGAAGCTGAAGTTCATCTGAACACAGTGAGTTACAGAGCAGCAGGTTGGAGCTACAGGTGTTTGTTAATGGAGGGAAAGTTTAATGTCATTTTTGTTTTTGAAAGAAGAAAATCATGAAAATATAAAAGCCACCATGTCAGTGGTAGAAAATAAATGGAATTTAACTATAATTGTTTTATAATTATCACCTCATGCAGAATGGTTTTTTAAATGTTCTTTGTAAGCATTGATCTGTTTTCTGCAGGGATGGGGGTGGGGGGGCATTTCAGCTGGAGGTGAAAATTGGCTGCTGTGAGAGTGTGGAGCTGCACTGAGTGGCCAGAGCAGAGGGGAATGAAGGGCTGGTTGGTTGGAAAGTAAAAGCTTTCCAAATGAATATGAAGTGTGGAGTGTTGGCCTAGTGGTTAGAGCAGTGTGCTTGTGCTCTGAGACAGTTGCGAGTACCTGGTTTGATCCCCACCGCCTGCACTCTGGGTCCTTGAGCAAGACGCTTAACCCCACACTGCTCCCCGGGCGCCGAACAATGGCAGCCCACTGCTCCCTAAGGGGATGGGTTAAATACAGAGAGTGAATTTCCCCATTGTGGGACAATAAAGGTATTTACATTAAACTCAGACATATTTAAATAAAATTCACCATAAATTGTTTCAATTTTACCAGTTTCATTTTGTTTTGGAGCTCTTAAGTTACGTTTTAATAAATGTTTTTTTTTTCTCAAAATAGTTCAATCCCTATTTATAGTAAAATAATATGTAGAGAAATTTATTTATTTTCCAAGATAAAAATCTTGCAAATGAAGAGCAGCAAGTTGCCTTTTAATAATTCATTTTTACCATAGAAGAATCACTGGCGTAACTTTGTGAAGGACTGGTGTGGACATGTCTCCACCAACTTTGGCATGGAGGGGACAGTCCTCACCAATAATGTCTGCATTTTCCCCCTTTCTGCTTATGTCCTTAATAACAGAGTTTGGGTGCAGCTGTCTGTGTTCAGAGTGTTTTCAGTCCGTGTTTTTTCCTCTCTCTACAGCTGCTCTCCAGTCCAACCTCTTGGTGAAGTATCATGGGATCTGTTGCTTTGGGACATAATATTATTTGGGGTCACTATTCACTGCGTACAGAGTCGCTACGAGGAGGAGGAGAGACAGAGCAGCACTCAGTGAATATTAACCAGCAGCTACTTCGATGTTTCAGTAAAAGTTAGGAGACGGGTTGGTTAAAATGATTAGAAATGCCACCGAAAAATCAGTTTGTTACACATAAGGAGCTTTTTCAGCTAAAAATGGCAGCAGATTTTACATTTCTATAAGTTAAAAAAGCTGGGCTTCTCGGAGGAACATTACTCAGAGTTACAGATTAAAAGTAACTCTGAGATATTAATATCTGTTGTTTTCATATTGAACAGAGAATCAGACTTCAGAGCTTCGAGAGATCTTGAAAAGGATTTTCTCAGGCATCATTATTTTGGTAGACAGGTTCATGAATCTTAAGCAGAACAGAGACACAATTAAGGACAGCTGTTGATTTTTATACATTAATATTTTTGAGCCCTTTATAAATAATGCACTAAAGGCAGGCACCTGTCTATAACTATAAATATCAGTGTATTGTGGTACTTTTGTGTTCTAAACAATAGGAAAGCATTCAATAAATATATTTTTGAGCTCATATCTGGAAAATGTAAACCCCATTGAAGTTGTTCGGGTTGATTAGTTGTAGGTCCATCAGCCACCAATCTTAGAGTGTCCCCACCAACTTTTATCTTAAAGTTACACCCTTGAGAAGAATTATTCATCCATCACGCTTATCCCAATAAGCAGGGTCAGGAGGGGTGCTGGTGCCTATCTTCATCTGTCTATGGGCCAGAGGTAGGTCTACCCTGGACAGGACATCAGTCAATGTAAATCCATAAACTTCATAATTTAAAAAGAAGTTCATTTAGAATGTAAGGGACACATTTTTATAAAAAATAAAACGAAAAAAAACATTAAATTTCAAGCAATTTTTCTGTAAAACCCTCCAACCCTACAGAATAAACTCTTGTCAAATATTTTATTAAAAAACAAGTTAAACTTTGGTTTAAAAGGTTAAACATCTGTCCTGATTTCCTGATTGGTGTGGACTAAATGCGCTTTACTGAAACTGCCAGCTTAAACATAGTTTCCTTTTTTCTAACCAGTGCAGTGACGTCATTATGGTAATTAGAGGAAGGCTGTTCATTACTCCTCTAACAAACAGTTTTTTAAAGGTCAGTCTGATGTTCTCTGTGTCGATAGAACAGCTGATTCTATTAATCAGCAGATTTAAGCTCCTGATGAAAACATTAGCATCTATTTAAATGATAAATCTGCACAGCAGAACTTTTTATTAAAGCTCATCTGTTGCTTGAAGAAATCAAGTCTGTTGTCAAAGCAGGAGGAGCCTGACCTCTAGTGGTCAGAGGAGGAACTCCATCCTTCAGATAAGTTCCTGGTTTATCAGTGAAGCAGGAAGAGAAGCAGAGTTAGAAACCATCAGCATCTCAGGATGAAGGTCTGTTATACTTTGATCTGCATCCTCTTCCTCAGTGAGTACATTATTTTATTTCTCTTCCCAGTTCTTCATCCTTTCAGTTCCTTCAGTTCATCAGTGAGTTTTTCTACCGTTTTAAAGGTTGAATCTAACCCAGTATCAGTAGTTTGATCTGCATTCTGTTGGTTTGTGTGCAAAATAATGTTGGTGATCAATTTAAGAAATTAAATATCTTCATTCTAAGGTTTAATATTCTATTTTAGGCTTTTCAAATAACTCTTCAGTTTGTAAACCAGTGAACGAAAAGCATTATAAATTCAATTTCCTTCATTTTAGTTCCTCTTTGCTCTAAAAATAAATGCTATCTCATATCTTTTGATCTCTTTCTAAGAAATATTATGTGTGTTTAACATCAGTCTGCAGATGGTTTTATTTCTGATCCAAAGTCTCAAAGAGAAAAACTAACCATCAGCAAGATGTTGATTTGCAGATTTAAATCAACTTTCTACTGTTATAGTTGCCTGTTACAGAGATCACAGCCTGGCGCTTTGGAGAAATTGCAGTTTTCTAAAAGTCGTAGATCAGTCAGATAAATAGAGGAAGAAGCTCTTTACTTCCTGGATTTATTGCATCAACAGAAACCTAGAAGTTCTGCAGCAGTTTCTTACAAACCAAACACAACCAGCAGAACAGAGCTAAGTTCAACAAAGATATAAAATGAGATAAAAACTATTTTTACATTTTTATTTGCTCCTCAGTTGGAGATTTAACCAGGTGGAGAGAAAGAAATCAGAAAGTTGTTGAGATAAAAAGATGATTAGAGAATTCACTAGAATCTGTTAGAAATGTTGGAATCAATGCACATTTATTCTCACACCTTCAGTGAAATTTATTCAACTATTTTCTTTTCAAGCTGCTGAATCTGACAGTAATTACTGACTGTTTATCTCCTCAGCAGCTCTGCAGGATGGAGACTCTGGAGAAACTAATAGAGGAATGGAAGGAACCAACATCACAGTTGGATGTTCATTTAGTTCCTCTGGAAGCAGGAAGTTCTTCTGTAAGGAAAACTGTGAAGGAGAAAATATTCTGATAGAAACAACAAAAGAAAGGGATCGGAGAGGAAGATACAGCATTCAGTATAAAGAAAATGGTTATTTCTCCTATGTTCTGTATGTGAGCATCACAGGGCTGACAAAGTCAGACACAGGAAAGTACCGATGTCGCTTGGATAAAACTTGGATGGTAACTCTATATGATGATTTTAATCTGATTGTGACAGAAGGTGAGTTTCCTCCTGAAAATGTTCCTTCTTGTTTCTGAAAGAAAACTCTGCTCACTGACAGCTTCTTCTGATCCAAATGACCTCAGACAGGAAACTGGCTTTAAATAGTAGCTCAGATGCTTTGAACTGATCTAAATCCTCCAACATGTTCAAACTGGGACTCATGCAGACAAACATCTTCATTGGTATCATGATGATGAAATATTATTGTCAGATTCAAACTCATTTGTTCTAATTCTGTTTCATTTCTCACAGCTTCAACCACCTCAGAACCAAAGTGGACTCTGAAAACTTTTACACCATCATCATCATCATCATCATCAGCTTCTGGAACATCAACATTAACTCAAAGCTTCAGTTCATCCTCTTCTTCCTTCTCCACTGAAACCATCAAATCGACCAGAACATCGTTTGATCATAAAGGTAACATTTCAGTTTATTGTGTTTATGATGTTGGTCATTTATAGGAATGTGTTTGATTATTTTATGATGCTGTTAGAGACCAGAGCGTTACACTGTTTAAGGCAAAATCCAGACATTAACATGCAGCTATGAAGGTTCTGTAATATTATAAATGGGTTTAATTTAAGGCATTTTAACTCTGACACCAAGTAATAAAAAACAAAGATTTTAACGAAAAGTTCATAGAGATACACTTTTGCTTGTTTTAATCATAGGTAAGTTCTTGTTAACTTAATAGTTTTTAAGTAGAAATATATGTTTTGCCAAAAACATCAAGTCACACAATTTAATAGCAACTTTGACCCTTATCATGAGTTTAATGATAACATTTTTTCAAACCAGCACAAAGATCAAAGTATTAAGACAAAACTAAAAACACCTCCTAAACTTTGTCATCATTGAATGTTGTCAAGATCCAGTTTGTAAGAAATTAAATACAGAGCTTGTGTCATGATTTTATCCAAAGATCTGACCCACATGCAGAAAACCAAACAGAGAGACTAGGGGAAGGTTTAACAGGTTTATTGTGAGTAGGTAGAGAGGAGTCCAGTGCTCAGTGGGAAATTTGATTCGTGAATTTGGAGAGGAGGATTTAGTTGCTGACTCAAGTTTCCAGAGAAGTTGTTGAATCTTTGACTCCAGTCTGTATGCTGTTGTTCCAGTGTTTGTCTGATTCGGTGGAGGGCGGAACAGGGTTACCCAGAATGTGGTTGTTTGTAGATGAACAGAGAAGCTGACTGCCACTCAGATTTCCTGCGGTACTTGAACAGGCTGTTGTGCAGATGAATCCCTTGCTCAGTGTGAAGCTCAAACGTTTCCTCGGGGAAAAGAGGATCCAAACCTCCGGTTTGTTTCCTGAGCTCAGTTTGAAGCTCAGTTGATCCTTCCAGGGAGAGAAGGTCCGAAAAATCCAGTTTGCAGGATGATTTCCTGTCAAGAGGCAAAGACAAGAAACAATATTAAGACTCAGGTTGACAACAACTCAGTTTGACTCAGCAAAACTCAGTTTGGCTAGAGTACCCCAAACTGGCAAGCACTCTGGCGTCGAGGTAGTGGCAGTCAGCAGCTTAAGAGTCCTCCGGGTAATGAGGCAACCATCCGCAGGTGTGTGAGAGGGCCAACGAGAACCAGGCGCCACCTGGTGGTGGAGGAAAACAAACAAAAAACACAACCCGCAAAAAAACTGGATTCCTGAGCAACTGTCAGACAGTCAAGGAGGGATTTATTTAAGTGCAACAATTTCAATATAAAGAAACTTTATGTTAAAGATGCTTAAATAATAATAAATGAACTTAATTTATCTCACATTGGAGAAGTATTTCTCTGCATTAAATCCATCCCCTTGGAGAGCAGTGGGCTGCCATTGTGCGGCGCCCAGGGAGCAGTGTGGGGTTAAGGGTCTTCCTCAGGGACCCAGAGTGGCAGTCTGTGGGGAACGAACCGGGTACTAGCAACCGTCTCAGAGCACAAGCGCACTGCTCTAAATGCTAGGCCAACACTCCCTCTAAAAAAACCTGATAGAACATAATAAATCAAGAAAATACTGAAAAATACAAACAGAAGAAATTCAAAACTCAAACACCTGGAAATTAGAGATGGGTACCAGGTATGAAAAGGGCCCCGGGGCCACGCCAGACTCCTTGTGAGCAGACAAGCTTTAGCATTGGTGGTCCTCCTAATTGTAGTGTTGTTAAGACCAGTGTTGAGACCAGTGTTGAGTCCATCTCAGTCGACATTGTTCCTCCTTAATAAGCTCACACAACCAGGGGACTGATGGAAGAGGCTTAAGTCATCTGTCTCCTCCACCTGTTATCTATGTGACTCATAACTTTCTGGACTCCTCTTGTGATTTTTTTTTGTAGAGACGAATGTTGTCATCTAATGTTCGTAGACAAATTAAAGCACCAATTGCTCTGAGTTTACCGTCTTCAGCAAACAGTGAGTGCTGCTGTGAGCCACGCCTGCTTTTAAATCACTGACAAGCAGTGATCAGTTAGCCTCGCCGAGCTGCAAACTCTGCCTGCAGTTAGAGGAGCTCCCCTGTTTCCCAACTGAACATGAGTCCATCTGCTGGAGGAAAGCTTCCACTCATTCTATCCTAGATCACAAAACGGGATGAAAATATATTTTAATGTATTTAATATATGATATAGTTTATGGGGGAGTGTTGGCCTGGTGGTTAGAGCAGTGCGCTTGTGCTCTGAGAAGGTTGCAACTACCTGGTTCGATCCCCACAGCCTGCACTCTGGGTCCCTGAGCAAAACCATTAACCTCACACTGCTCCCCGGTCGCTGCACAATGGCAGCCCACTGCTCCCCAAAGGGATGGCTTCAAAGAAGAGAAATACTTCTCCAATGTGAGATAAATTAAGTTCATTTATTATTATTTAAGCATCTTTAACATAAAGTTTCTTTATATTGAAATTGTTGCACTTAAATAAATCCCTCCTTGACTGTCTGACAGTTGCTCTCATCTTTCACTGTGGGTGGCTCTGCTATTTTTGGCATTAATTTGATAATATCACAAAATATCACAAATATATATACTATATATAACAAAATACACAAACAGTTCATCCTCTGTGATATAGTGGATATATAGCTTTTAACAATGTGAACTCAGACTGTAAATTAAAATGTTTCTCAGAGTAAAACTGGACTTTTAACATTTCTGCAGATCTGCTGCTCTATGTGGGTCTGGTTCTTTCCATCCTGATCATCATACTAGCAGCAGCTCTGCTGATTTTTCTCAAGAAAAGAAGCTTTGGTCCACAGAAAGGTGAGTCACAAGACAGACTCTGCTTTGTCTCCATAACTATTACAAAACCTGCAACAACCAGAATTCCATTTTTTGTGAATAATTCACCAACAGAATGGATATTTACAGCTTGTAGCTGTGCTCTTAGTACCCATTGACTGGACAGCTATTGGTCATACGAGCAACAAATATGTCAGAGAGGAAATGAAGTCATGGGTCCTTCTCTTTGCACTGTGTAACAATTCATGAATGAGACACGGCTAAGCTGGAAAAAATGGCTCGAGACAGATGAAAGCTAAATGAAACTTTCTGTATTGCAGAAAAATGTTGTTCATGGTGCAACAGGGGAAACATCCTAAAAACACAAAGCTACAGAAAAGGTGTTTAGATCAGAGACGAGTCATGAGTTTAAATGACCCAAAGTACGATTCTATAATTAGGTAGAATCTGTGAAACAGAAAACCGTGAAACAGGAACCTCTCAGTTCAGTTCAGTTCAGTTTATTTATATAGCGCCAAATTCACAACACATGTCATCTCAAGGCACTTTACAGTTCAACCAGATCATACAGTCAAATTGATACAAAGTTTTCTATCTAAGGAAAACCAGTTGATTGCATTGACTCATTGACTCAAATACAATCCCCCACACTAAGCATGCTTGTAGCGACAGTGGAGAGGAAAAACTCCCTTTTAACAGGAAGAAACCTCCAGCAGAACCAGGCTCAGTGTGAGCGGCCATCTGCTGAGGCCGACTGGGGTTCAAGGAGACAGAAACAGAGATACAAAAAGCAGCTGTAAAAGGCGGCCCCGTCCAGGAAACACACAGCCAGGCAGACGAGCTCCAAGGCAGCTCCCATGCCAGAGGACGAAGAGAGCACATCCACTCAGTCACGGCCAGAGAAACAGGACCACACTGGAAAACAGGCCGATCTCCAATATCTATAAACAAGGGTGTTGATGGAAGCAGCACAGCTGATGTTTCTTTCCAGGATGACGTCACAGCCAAACAGGAACAGACATCAAATCTGCATTTTTATCTGCAGAAATGATTAACGATTTAGTCTACAGGTGTGAAAAACTGAATCCTAAAGTATTTGTAATTTTAAAAAATGTTGCTTTAAATCAATCTTCTTCTTTTCCCGTTTCTCCAGTGAAAACAGAGTTTGCTGATAACGCAATGGTGAGTCTGAGTCACTGTAAAAGCATCTCTATCAAACACCTGTTAGCTCTAACCAGTCAGTTTGTGAAAACTCAACCTGATTCAGCATCAACTCCTCCTTCTGCAGGTCGACAGAGTTTATGAGGAGATCAGAGACCAGGACAGAGAAAACAAACCACTTCCTGAGGAATTAGCTTCAGTTTATGTTTACGCCAAACCCTGCAACCCAAACTCAGCTGAAAGCAACGATATATACAGCCTCGCCAGCGGCCCTCAGAACAAAGTAAGTGAGACTCTGGACCGCCATGGTAATATGTTGATAATATGCACTCTGACTGAACAAATTTGTGATTCCCTGCTAAGTTTGTCCATTCAGTCTGAGTTAACGATTAAATGCCATAATTATTGCATTCAGCACTGAGGTCTAAGATCATAAAGAAAAATGACACTTCTGCATTGATTATATGTGGATAAGACTAGCAGTCAATACTGCTGGTGTTTTAAAATGTATAAGGATTTCTATATAATTAAAGTATATAAACATGGTGCTGAAACACACAATTGTATGATAAAGTTACTAATTTATTACATCAGAATATTTTTAACCATGTAGAAAATATTATTTATTCATAAAAAAAAACAGCAAACCAACATTATTGGTATTGGGGCCATTTTAACACACAGAGGAGGAAGCATCAGTTTAAACTTCTCTGAAATAAACTTATATTTAGAGACCACAGATAAGCTTGAAATTTTCTTGTTGAGTTTCTGTCTTTATTTGTTTGTTTTTCTGTATTTCCCACTGTGTACAGAATAAATTGAAAAGTTATTACCAAATGTGCGCCTCACTAAAAGGAACAAATAACTAAATTTTGGTGATGATCCTCGTCATAATCCAAATGTAGGATTGTTTTAAAAGATTCCTTAACATTATTTTACGTAACAAGCAGTACCCCCTTAAACCAGAGGGTGGCAGCAGTGACTATTAACAGCTTCAGCATAAGACACAAAAAAGCTCAGATGTACTATACTGAAGTCAGAAACAGGCTAGGTCTGGATCTGCTGAAACAGGAAAGCACAGACTGAATAAAGAAGGTGAGAGCAGAGCAAACACCAGAGGCTGCAGACACACGATGGGCCTTATTTGGAAACCTATTAAAGGATTTTAAGGAAATTATTACCAAAGTTTTGCCTCCTGTTGAGGAACAATTAATAAAAAATATTTTAATGATCCAGATCATGCAAAGTTTTAGCTATAGGTGTAAATATGTATATGGGGCAAAATTCACTGCTTTCTGGAGGTCTGGCCTCTGAGTGCTTTTATACTTATGTCTGTTTTATGTCAAAGCTATTGCTCACTGTTCTTAGGCCGGATTTGCTGACAGTCAAAATACATTATGTTCACATAAACAGACTCTCTTTTCATCATCCTAGTGCCTCCCCTGTGGCCACAATGGCCCCAATAACCCCAAACCAAGTGTATTAAATACAGATTGACAAACTGTTTCCACAGTCTATAAATCCATTTTTAGCTGGCAACTATTTCAATTGCCATATCTTTAACAAACTAATATATGTTATTTGGTCAAAAAAAGATGATCTATATCTTCATGGGATATATGTTATTTCCTAGTAGTAAAAACAATTACAAATGTAACCAATTTTTATTTTTATTTCTCTATTCATTGGATCACAGTCTTCATTTATGGCTGGTAATAACTTGAACTGAAAATCTAATTTCAAACCTTCAGTAAATAATTAGGTACTCCGTTATTTAAAATTCTGCTTGTAGGAAAATGTATTATTATTTTTACATTGACTATTTCATTCATTTCAATAAAAATAAAAAAACAATACAATTGAAAATGAGACTGAGGAAAATCCTCTGCCCCTAAACACAAACAGTTAAACCAATAATATTTATATAATAAATACTGAAATGTCAGCTGCAGTCCAGCAACCACCTGATTTATAAACAACTATGTGAACATATTTAAAGGTTTCACCTTTTTTTCATCACTAGGAATTAACAACCAGCACAAAATAAACCTTCCCATTGTGTTATATTATCTTAACATTGTGTTGCTCACATGTTGGTAAAAGATTTAGCTTTTTAAATATCGTTATCCAGACTGTTGCATAAATGACTCCATACACAGAAACACATCGCTACTCTAGTTCTGAATGTTGGTTATAGTAATATTTCATACCCTTTCAAATTATAATTATTTAGCCTTTGTTGAAATCTCTTCTGCACATTACTTTGTGAACCTTTCACATAGCTTGATATATCACTTTTGAGATATGAATTAAAATATTTAACTGTATAAACTAAAAGTTCTTGTCCTCTTTTTTCCAGGTGGAGGTCGATGAGGTAGATTAGTCTGAAGTGCATTTGCTGGGTGATACACTGTAAAAACGACAACTCAAAATTGTTCACCTTACTGAGATTTTTGCATTCACTGACAATAAAATTGCCAGTTGGAACTTGAACTGTCTGTTGTGAGCCAGTTGAACTCACTTTCATAAGTTTCTGATGAAAAGTTCATCTTATTCTATAAATTAAGTTGAGTTTACTTAGAAGTTGTAGTTGACACCCAGTCTGAGCGAGGTCAACTTATCTGCGCATGCTCATTTCAAATTTGTCATGGCAACCGTCTGCTACAGGGTTTCCATGGATTTTCCCAGGAGCTCCCTTCTAAAGTTTGCATCAGCCATCTGGTCACTCTGCTGGCGGTAACTTTCCCTGAGGACTCGTCCAAGAGAAGACTAAGGCACTGGTTTCCTGTCATCTCTGGCAATATTGCATTATTTGTACACTGAAAAAAAAATAGAGGTTGACAGAACTTACATTTTCTAGGCAACGTGATGCATTTGGTTTTTTGAGTTTTCCTTACTTAAATTCACTGTGGTTGAGTTTACAAAGATTTTTGAGTTCTGCCAACTTAGGTTTTTGGAGTGTTACATAGAAATTTTGAGTTCTACCAACTTAGGTTTTTGAGTTTCACCTTTAAGTTCTGAGTTCTATCAACTTTGTTTTATGAGTTTGACATATAGATTTTGAGTTCTACAAACTCAGATTTTGTAGTGTTATCTGCAAGTTGAGTTCTATCAACTCAGTTTTTTTAGTCCTACCAATCGTCTTCACTACCAATCATTCAACACACAAAAAATTATGTTAATACAACATTTTTATTGCTTCAAGCCAAACATTGCATAGATACAGTATAAAACCATGTTCAACAACATAATCTTAACTGCACAGATCAAAGTAACATGACACTGGACCAGAATGTTCTAGATTCGTAAGAGTGATGATGAGGGAAAAAACAGTAAGACACCATTTTAGTAAGAGGAAAACACACAGGTAATTTTTTGTGAAGTAAGTGTATTAACATATATGAAAAAATAACAGTTTTACAAATTTGGACGGCCTTCAGTTTGTTTTTTTCAATTGTAGTCTCTTTAAATTGGGTGCACCCTTTTAAAAAAAATAAAATGAAATAAAATGTCTTGTTTCCCAATGGAAAAAGAAAAAGGTTTTCCCTTTTTATCTCTGAGTTTTTCTTTTTAGTCCTACCACTCCGACAGGACGATGAATGCAAAAAAAGAAAGTCCTCTTCAGTCCAAATCCTTCTCTTCAATCCAAATCCAGATGTTCACACGGTTGGCTCGCCATCTCCATTTAAGGAGAGAATCCAGAATCCAGGGTATCCAAAAAACCCAGCCTGCATAGCACAACAGGGCTTAGTTAAATCCATTCACTTCTTGTTCTTAACTGTACAGTTTATATCTCTCCAAGTATGATAAATTTCAGTGTGTAATGTAACTTTTCTAACTCATTACGAATTAACTGCTGCATTACAGGGTTAACATATAAAATGTTAATGTCACTGTTTTTCTTGTAAAGCAAATAAAATCATGAAAGCAAAAAATCCACATGTAAATAATGTAAATAACAGTAAATACCCACATCGGATTAAGAAAGTAAAATAATGTAGTCTTGTAATATTCTGTGCCTGAGTGCAACAACACTGCACTACATAAAACAATTTAGAAATTTAATAAGTTATTACACTCAACTTAATGTCTCTTTTCATTTGTACAATGAAAATAACAGGCACACTCTTTTCTCTATGCATAAACACTCACCCGCACATGCGCGGCATAAACACGCACGCGCACACGCGCATTATACACGTGCACGTGCGCTGCTTTTCCTTTCATCAGAACGTGAAAAACATGTGAACTCATGCTTCAACTCGGTGGCAATACACCACAAGGGAATGCTAACTCACGGAGCTAACCGCTAACTGTCTGTACTTTGCAGCACTCACCGGGAAAACTGGTAAGGTCCCAGGGTCGTTCCTCCGTGGTTCTCCAGATGCATAAAATCACAATGTCCGCCAATCTTCTCAAACACGAGGGAAAAAGGCTGTGCCCTTGAAGAAAGGGATAGGAAACCCCGTACCGTAGTGGGCGTGTCCATGAACATAAGCAGTGCGCATGCCCATGAGTTTACAGTTGAGGGAACTCAAAAAATCTTGTATAGGCGATTTAAAACTCCTTGTTAAACCAACTTCTGAGAATTTGAGTTGGGCAAACGTGTATTTATTTGTTAGATGTCAAATTTATATTTCTGAGTCGGATTACAATACAATTGTGTGTTAGAACAACAATTGCCATTTACTTTTTTAACAGTGTAAGGTTTTAACAAGAGTTGGAAAGTAAAAAAAATATATGCTGAAACCTGATTTGCTTTAAGCATAAGATTACTTGTTTACATTGTGGAATTGTAAACCTGTTTTTGCCAAAGTGGTTCAAATAAACATGCAAAATTTAACTGGTTTACTGTCAGGGCTGCTCAGTGGCGCAGTGGGTAGCACTGCTGCCTTGCAGCAAGAAGGTTCTGGGTTTGATTCCTGGCCTGGTCTTTCTGCATAGAGTTTGCATGTTCTCCCTGAGCATGTGTGGGTTTTCTCTGGGTACTCTGGCTTCCTCCCACAGTCCAAAAACATGACTGTTAGGTTGATTGGCTTCTCTAAATTGTCCTTAGGTGTGAGTGTGTGCATGAATGGTTGTTAGTCCTGTGTGTCTGGCGACCTGTCCAGGGTGTACCCTGCCCCACTTGGGACAAGCGTGTAAGAAAATGGATGGATGGTTTACTGTCAGTGGATGATTTAATGGGGGGGATTTAAACTCAAAAATGTAAGTTATTACAGGGGATGGTAATCTGAATTTAAAATAACTTTTTACAGATAATCTGAACTTAAAATAATAAGTTTTTACAGACTTGAAAGTTCCAGTAACTTGAATTAAAAAAACTTAGTTGGCAGAACTTGAAAAACTTAGCTGACACAACTTAAAAAATTAAGTTGATGCCTTCAACTCAAAAATTCTGTCCAGCCAGTTGCCTTGAAATTTTGAGTTGAACTAACTTTTTCGTTTTTACAGTGTACCGGCTCACCAAACAACGCCCCCTGTGGCCATGCAGATGATGTCACCTCCTCTAAACTTCAGATAGCTGCGAGCTCTACAATCAACGACTAACCTCCTCTGTATTGAACTGTTACATTTTGAGCAGTAGCTTTGCACCAACAGTTGTATAAATGTTTTTCAATCTGAAAAACTCACAGGAAGAGAAAAGACAATTAGGAGAAATTTATTGATACAATTACTTTGTCCTTGGCGCTCAGACCTCGGCAGGAAACGTTGCACTTCATTTGGATAGATATGCATGAACAGGAGCAAAGAATACGTCTGTCCCCCTAGTATCAGCTCCCCGTTGGGAAGAAACCTCTGGTAGAACCAGGCTCAACATGACGGTCTTCTGCCGGACCGGTTAAGATGAGACGAGGAACGCACTAAGAGTCCAGGAGGAATGACGCTCTGATGAAGCTTTAGCTACGATGGTGGAGGAGGGGATGGAGGTGGGTTGAAACGGTGTCATCTGAATGAAGTCATAGCGCGTCCGTCGCCTTAACTCAGGAGCAGACAGGTGCGGATCGGAGGCCTTTTAAGATGAACTTTGGATGCCGATTGGCTTTCATGGAGGCGTGGTTCAAAGGTGATTGGCTGTGTCGCAGGTGGAACAATGAGTTTCTTCAGTTGAATTTCCGCCTAGGCTCCATTTATTGGGATTTGTGATGTAAACTAATTTTTCGTAGCAAACAGTAAATGTCAGGAAAGTGTATATAAAATTGATTTAGCAATAGTGGTTAACTAAAATCAGTTATTGATGTTCTTGAAGTAGGTGCAATTAATGCATTGAAAGCATAATATTGAGCTAATTTATGAGAGGTAAAAGAAACTGCTCAAATTTAGTTTATTTCTCTAAAAACTTCAAGGTTAAATTTTTTAGTTGGGTGTAGCAAATTTTTTTAAAATAAACTAAATTTTGCCTGAACCCAGAGTGACTGTTAGCTGCTGTTCTACTGTTAGCCCTCTGCAACTCTCCTCATCATTCAAAATAAACATGTGGGAATGTTGATACGGTAAAGCTGAGGGTAGATGCTAACATGCAAGCATCTACATAGCATGACCTGTTTACTATGTGTAAACAAAGATGTTTGCATAAAGGAATTATTTTACTGTATTTAATGTTTAAGAGATTTTACATATAAATTTGAACAATTGTATTTTAGTTATTTTTTATGTTTCTTAATGTTCATTTAACGTTTTGTTATAGCAAGCCATTTACTACTTGCAAATTTAGCATAGATTTTTATTGATTTTAATGCTTTTAAAGGCTACAGAATGAAAATGTTGGGCAATAGAATACAAACATTAAATGCAAAGGTTGACAACATTCTCCTTATGAAAGTGCAGCAAAGAATTCATCACTTATTTACACTTTTATTAGTATAAAATTTCAACATTATCTAGTTGCAAAAAGGCCAATAGGATTACTCATGGGATGCTCTGTGCACAAAACCTCACCAGCAGATGTTAAATCTAAACACTGATAGCACTTTTAGGAGAGTGTTTTGATGTCCGGACATCTACGACGACCAGATGTTAAAAAAGGCCCAACAGATTCCCCTCTGACCCCTGTGTGGGCAGAGTCAGAACCACTCCCATCAGGTCGCAGATTCACTGTCCCTAAATGAGGACAAATAGACACAATGCTTTTATGTTATGTTTATGTTTTATGTTGTTTTTACGAGTCTTAATCAGTCACTGTAGTATTTTACTTACTGTATTGTTTGTGCTTCTGTTGTATGACAATCGACCATCAGGGATAATAAAGACTCTTAACCTTGAAATTTATAAAGTGTAAAAACTGTAAAAATTCAAGTTGATAAAGCTTCAGAAATCATTTCTTATTCTAAAAAATCTTCCAATCTTCTCACATATAAAGCCTTAAAAGGCCAAGCTCCATCTGATATCAGAGATCTGATTGTTCCTTATGTTCCTAACAGAGCACTTCGCTCTCAATCTGCAGGTTTACTAGTGGTTCCTAGAATTTCTAAAAGTAGAATGGGAGGCAGATCTTTTAGTTATCAGGCTCCTCTCCTGTGGAACCAACTACCAGTTTTAGTCCGTGAGGCAGACACCCTGTCTACTTTTAAGGCTAGGCTTAAAACTTTCCTTTTGATAAAGCTTCTAGTTAAGAGTGGCTCAGGTTATCCTGAGCTATCTCTATAGTTCTGCTGCTATAGGCTTAGACTGCTGGAGGACATAGGGACCCCTTTTTCATCATTCTGCTTCATTCTATCTCTATTCTCCCACTGCAGAATCTGCCTGGCTGTGTGTTTCCTGGACGGGGCCGGATGTGGAGCTGGTTGACAGTTGCCTTTTTCTATGTCTGCTTCTGTCTCCTTGAACCCCAGTGGGCCTCAGCAGATGGCCGCTCACACTGAGCCTGGTTCTGCTGGAGGTTTCTCTCTGTTAAAAAGGAAGTTTTTTCCTCTCCACTGTCGCTACAAGCATGCTTAGTGTGAGGGATTGCCTTCGTGTCAATGAGTCGATACAATCAACCGGTTTTCCTTAGATAGAAAACTTTGAATCAATCTGACTGGATGATCTGGTGAACTGGAAAGTGACCTGAGATGACATGATGTGAATTGGAGCTATAGAAATAAACTGAATTGAATATTCAGAGCAGAATAGACGGTGTTTGCATTCTGTTTCAATCACATAGTTTCTGCTTCTTGTTGATATATCTAATTGATAATAAGTTAGTGCAGACTGAATTTACAGGAAAGTGTTCCTGGTTCTTTATAGATTATAGCTTTCATTAAAGGTATTGTGGAGGATTTTTGCAATTTAAAAAAAATTCACATGCACAATCCTGTACCCACTCCAGAGAAGGAAAGCCTACTAAAAGTGTGTGAGCTTGCATGATCCCATTTCTCTTCATTTTACTAGCAGTGATGTGAAATAGATTTCTCCAAATAGAATGCTACACTTTAATTGTCGAGTAGAAACTTGGCAACCGAGCATCAGTGGGAAGCTCTACCTGTGATTCCCCTGTACGCCATCAAGTGAAAGAATCTCCCCAAAGCACTCTGGTCTTGTTTCTCTCTTCTGATTCCTTACTTTTGTTCTTATACACTTCGTAGGCTCTTTTTCTCTTATATCCCTCAGGCATCCCTCTGAACTGCGGTAAGAGGGATGGCTCTGATGAGCTCCGATGATCTTCAATGACTGTCTGAAACCGTAGCTCACCACAGATATACGCCTGAAAGTGCGCATGCGCAGAAAAAGAAAGCCAACGAGACAAGCACGTAGGACGGCCTTACGTAAACATATCACCGGAATGATTGACAGTTAAGAGGACCACTGATTTAGATGATCCACCCGGAAATAAAATCCTCCGCTATACCTTTAAACTATTGTCGTTTTAGAAATCAAATGTCTCAGCTGGACTCTGCTTCTGTGTCCCACCCACATGAGGGAGCTCAGGGACCAAAACAGTCTCTGTGTTGGTGTTTTTAATTTGTTTTTGTGTTATCTACAAACTCAGATTCATCACACATCACACCCACATCAACACGTCCAATCATCAATGATACTGCTTTGTTATATTTGATTTATTTATTTTTTAAGCAAAAGCCACAACAGAAGAAAACTGTTTGATTCCACAGCCCTGATCATCATCACCATGACGCTTTAAGAAAACTGATTAAAAAAACATAGTTATGTTTTTGCCTGTGAGTCATGGCTATAACTAAACAGGCTTAAGTCAGAGGAAGCAGGACGTTCGCTCAGTTTTTCTTAAAATATTTTGACGCCTATCCACAAGTCTTTGTCAATCCTGTCCCTTTTTTCAGCATGAAGCAAACTTTGATAGTAAGATAAGAGTAAACGAGACTAGAAACAACTGTAAGAAAGGGGGAATTGCATCGCCATCAGTTCCTAAACAGGAAACACATAGAGGTCATGATTATTTCTGTATTTATTCATGCCTGCCCTAAGCTCACATGGTGGATGTCAAGAAGCTTCTGTGTTCCTTAAAAAAAAGAAATCCAATAAATTTTTTTCCACTTCAAGATTATGTTGAAAAAATTTGAATTTTATATCTTTATGTCTAAAGCCCGAAATGTGCCAAATTCGTAAGTTGTAATATTGAAAACTCAAAAACATTTTAAACAGCAGAGCTTATATGTAAAGTGAACAGTGGCTAAAATGGTGGTTTGTACAAACCCTAAAAGTCTCACACACTTCCAGGAACATAAAAGAAAAAAAAAGACTTCAGGAATAATCTACAGCATGCTAGGAAGTGGAAAGAAGTTGAAAATCAAGATTAAGTCTGTAGATAAATAAAGGGGAGGGGGGGCTTTGGGGTTGGGGGTTGCTTGGGGGGCAAACATGTGATTCTGACCATAAAAAAGGTAGAAGTAATTTTTCAGAAAATATTTGTGTGAAAAATATTTAATATTAAAGTATGGGAGAATTATCCTGCCATAATGCAAGAGCACATAATTTCAATTTGAGAAAATAATTTCATCTTCTTGCACTCAAAACTTATAATGCTCACACTCAAAACATGCGCTCTCTCTCAAATATTTTCTCTTCTCTCTCAAATCTTTGTTTCTTCTCTCAGATTTAATGCTTCTTGCACAGATATTTTCTCCTCTCGCTTGCCTCCTTCTCTTCGCGCACAAACCGCGCTCTGCTCGGGTCTCAGATACGCTCGCAAACCCGTAGGCTCTGCTTACGTATTTTTTTTTTTTGCTCTCTCTCAGACTGCAGTTGGATCGTCCCCTATGAACCATTCCAGCCAATAGAACGACAGCCTGGGAAAGGGTGCGCTTGTTTAACCCTACTGAGTGTGCCTGTGCTACTACGCCACTTAGAGCGTCAGCTGAAACTGCTATTTACAGTAGTTTTGTGGCTCGATTCAGCAAAGTTCAGTACTTATGGATAACCCAAACAATTCTGAATTAAGTAATTTTAAACAATTAGTGGTTTGTTATGTACAAAAGCAAAGAACCGACATATTAAATTATTATATCGAAAAACTTTGTTTGTATAATTGCAAATCTTTACATTTTAACCAGTTATGGATGTTTTAAAATGTTGTATGAGTGGACAATTGGTCCGAA